AAATGTAAATGTCTATGGGCCACAGCAACCACTTATCATCAGGTGGACTGCGTGCTCGTTTGTCACCCCATCCTATAAAAATAAAAAAGATGTCTTATTGTAACAATAATATACTTACTGGTACTCTGATTTTTCTTATATATTTCTCAGTAAAATGTTTTCTACAAAATTGTAGAGTTCTTCTTAGGATTCCAACCAACTCGCCCAATTAATGACAACCATTTTTTTCTAACTATAGGATCCAGAGGGAGTCTGTTTGACAAACGGCAAAATAAAATTTTGTTTTTAGAACGCAAATCGAGCATTTAATTTCATGCTTCTTTTTGTTGTGTATAAAAGTCTATCGATTCTTTATACTCATTAAAGATAAATATCGACATTAATTTTGATATAGTTGAGTCAATCCCTAACGTAAATGTAAAATATTTTGTTTGAAAATGAATTCACCAAAATCATACAACTTATCAACAATGTGACTTTTTCCTTTGCAAAATATCAAAATTAATAAAATAATTCAAAATATTACATATTTTAAACAGTATATAACATAAATTTTAAGCAAAAATAGACGTGTCTTATTATTGACGACGTCTTGCGAATTGTCGTGAAGCGACAATTAAAAAAAAATGAACCTAACCTAAGTACAACAAAACAACAAAAGTAGAGCCAGAAAACAATATATTTAAATTTTTAAAAGGTATTTACAATTTTATAAAAAAAATGAAATGAGGATGATGATGAATGAAGTGAGAGTACAATTAGATTACAAAAAAAAAATAAAGGTAGGAGAATAGGGGAATATTTGTAGTGGAGCCTAAAAGTCGAAGTGACACACGTTGCGATTGTAGAGGTAGGTTTCTTAGCAGCGACGGCACGCAGCGCCTGAAGCCAGCACACGCCGGTTGCGCTTGTAGAGGTAGGTTTCTTAACAGCGACGGCACGCAGCGCCTGGAGCCAGCATACGCAGCGTCCGGAGCCGGCGCACGTAGCGCCTGGAGTAGGTGCGCTCAACGCTTAGAGCCAGCAGTTGCAGCGCCCAAAGGTAGCGCCGGCGGTATGTGCACTCGGCGTCTGGAGTAAGTAGTCGTAGCGCCCGGAGTAGTGTGGCCCCCGCGCTTGTAGTAGTCTATGAAGCGACTTCCGAGGTAGATGGAAGCTTGTAGGAATCCGGAGTGGTGCCGCTCCGCGTTTGAAGAAGGCTTCGCCGAAGACTTCACGTGTAGGTGGAGGCTTGCAGGATCCCGGGGCAGTGCGGCCCCGGGATAAGGCCTTTAGGAGATACTTCCAATTCGCGAACTTCACCGACTGCCTTTCTTCACCGATTGTTCGGCTTTTATACCTTTCTAGAGAGAACGGAAAAATTATTTAAATTATACGCAAATTTTTTGTAAATGGTCAAGAGAAAAGAGGATTTATGTGGAATTATCGAAATAGGAATAACAGATCGGTAGCAACTTTGAATATAATTACCATGGAAACGATATAAATAAGAAAGACAAAACATGTCAAATTTTTGTTTTTGGTTTATAATAAGAAAACGGTAAGATTTAAGTGGAAAATGAGATATTATTGATATAGGAAAAAAGGTAGCGCAGCTGCCCACACAAAGCCCAAGATTGTAGAGTTACGGAAAACTAGCTAAAAGATCGAAAAAAGTAGACTCCATTGACACCAATTTAAAAGTGCTGATAATGTGACAATACGAAGTAGAAATGATTTGTTATTGTGTTCTTATGGTTTAAAATCGTTACAGGATCCTATGGAAATAAAGGTGATGTAAAATATCCAGTTTTGAGGTGAATGCAGAAAATCGAAACAGAATGGAAAAATGAATTTAAAATAATGTAAAATGATACGTAAGTAGTATAACACTACAGAATTTACCTGTGAAATGTGCAACCATCAGGATTACTTTTATTGTTGATACCACAGTCACTAACGGAACATGAAACCATTTTGGAAAACTATAAATTATACAAATTAACACTTATAATCTAAAAACACACAAAATATCTACAAGCTTATTTCTTGCGCGCCGACTTGCGCCGACCTGTCTTTCAAAATCGGTTACAGAGTCACGAGATTTGGTATCCTTTTCTATCTTGCATTTTTGCCATAAGGAATTTTCTTCTCCCTTGCACACTATGTCGGTCTATACTCTCTGACTAGTATACAGTTATCTGTGGTCTATACGTATATCCTTAGTCTATGTTGCGAGGCAATATATAATACGGCCGACGTATCTTGGCGAGTCTGAATATAGGCTCTGCGAAGTTTAGCGCATGAACACTCGTGAAGAAAACTGTTATTGTCATTTTTTTATATATACCAATGTACAAATAAAATTTCCCTAATACAGTGACCAAAAATATCAAAACACTTTGGAGACATTATAAATTAAAGATTCAATTTTGATACCTCACCTTTCGATAGGGGCAGATTTTATCACAAACACATACAATATTATTTACATTTAATACTTTTTATTTATTTACACTTATTATTATTTAATCACTGTCGCTGAGGGGGGAAATTCCTAACATAAAGTCGTCGGCCCCTTGTGTACCATGTGAGGTACTTGGCATAGGTTCATCTTCGTAATCGTCGCTCTCACTTTCAGACTCACTTTCTGAATCTGAAGCTGTATTAATGATGAATAATTGATCCGTCATTTCGTCAATAATATGGTCGCTCTTCCTATAGTCATGTTCGACCTCTTGCACTTTTCTGCATAAAGCACTCCATTCATTCTGACCCATTAAATTTACTTTTTCTTGTATGAGCTCCATTGTCCGGGTTACGTTCCAGTCGACGTTTTTAGCGGCTACGTGCCCTTTAATGGCAGCCCACACCATCTCGATGGGGTTTAAATCGGGATGATATGGGGGTAAACGAAGGACATCGTGGTTGTTTTGTTTAAACATTTCATCTATTACGTATTTTTTATTCACGTCTTTGTTTTTTTTTATTAGATCGTAAAGTTGTGGTTTACGCATGTCCTTTTCATATGGTATACCCTTTTCTAATAACCACGATTCCATTTTTGCCTTCTTGTCATTAGATGTAGGGGCAGGATCCATTAATTTGTTGTGGTACGGAGCATTATCGATAACCACCACCGAGTTAGGGCTCAAATTTGGAATCAGTTGGGTCCGTAACCATTTCTCATAATTTTTGAAATTCATGTCATCATGATAGTCTCCGGTTTTGCTGCCAGATTTGAACATTAGTAGCGCGTTCGGAACAAACCCTGCTTCTGACCCAGCGTGTACCATCACTATCCGCTGACCTTTTGATATCGGGCGCTTTAGTCCTTGAGCGGAACCATCTGACCACGCCTTACCTTTTGTATGTGATGAGTGGGCATACGACTCGTCAGTGAATACAATTGGTCGCCCTTCGTCCCTGTATTTTTTCATTGCCTTCAAGTACAAGATCCTTTTCAGGCGAATGTCGGTCTTCTCTATAAGAACCATTCTATTGGTTTCGGTCTTTCGCCACTTGAAACCCAAGTTTTTGATAATTGTCTTTAAGCTCGTTTTACCACCTTGAAAATTTATATCCCGTTTGAGTTTCGCTAGTAATTTGTTTATCGTCGGCATTTCTTTTTCAGTTTTGTGGAAGTTGTGTATGCATCTTTTTACTACTCCCTGGTCAAAATTATCCATATCAGTAATAGGTTTTGATCTAGACCTTTTTTTACCAGGCGTGCGGAATACTGAAAGTAAGCCCGAAATATTGCCTTCAGTTGCGATCCGCTGTACTGTGCGTTGGGACACACCAGTTGCGTTAGCAACTCTTAAATAAACTTTATCGACATCTTTTACGCCTTCTTCTTTTTCTTTTTTCATATATTGCGTTAAATCGTAAATAATTTTTCTCGCCTGGCGATTTAACACACTGTTATGTTTTGGTGGCATGTTTGGCGAATAATATAAGTGCTAACTGACACTTGCAAATAAAACAAATAAAACAAATAAAACAAACAAAACAAACTTAACACTATTAATAAAAACAAACAACAATAACAACGAAAACTTTTGTAACCGACTGTGCTCAAGACAGAGATAGCGACACGAACACGACACCAATGCTAACGTGTGACTGAGAGCATTGCCGAATAAGCACGAAGCTTTACGAAGTAACCAGAAAGGGATGTCCAACACGCGTGCCTGAGGGTGTTGTTTAATCGATTTTTATTCAAATCGATTAAAATTAAGACATAAAAATATATTTATTTGCAATTTATAAGGAGGTTCTAAATTTTCTCAAATAGTCGTTACTCAAGAAGACGTTAATAGATAATTGATATTTAAGTACATTATGTCTTTCAGCTGAGAAAATAATATGTTTTTAGTTTTTTTTTTTATTTAAGTCGAAATCTTGTTTATTATCAACAAAATTCACTATATTTGTAAATCTATTTCGTTTAATATCTTATATAAACAAAAATCAATAACTTCTAAATAAAACTAATCGATTGCGATATTTTATGACTAAAGGGTCGATTGTGTTTACTTATGGTCAATCTCTAGCCTAGACCACCGCCCCCCGTACGTCGCCTCATGCCACCATTTTGTTCCTTAAAAAAGCTATTGCGCAACCTTCTGCGCGAAGGTCGGACTCGCCAAGATACGTCGGCCGTATTGTACTTCAATGTACTACAACTTGATACTGAGATATAAATGAAGACATGGCTTCAAAGACAAGCATCTAAGCCAAAAATCTTAATAGAAAAATGATATTATGATATCGAGCTGTCAATGTCAAAATAAAAATATTGTTTTGAATTGAATGTGTAAACCAAAACCATGTGTTAGCGAATGGCGAGGCATAATAAAAATATTAAAGCCCACAAGTATATTTTTTATAATAAAACGTTTTAAAGTATAAAATAGTTTATGCAATATTTTATGTGTTATGAACTTAATGTTCATAAAAAATTAAAATTACAAATATATTTTACCACGCATTAATATCGATATTGATTTGCATTGAACATGGGAAAGAAAAGAAAGTTAGTTTCTAACAAAGACGATTTTGAGTATGACCCTGTACCTAAACATTTAGTTACATCTCATATAAAAAAACAAGAAAAACGTTTAATTGTAATATTGGAAAATGCACAGTTAGAAACTGTGAAGGTAAGGTTATATTAATTTTTTGTTGCCTAAGCTTGTGTAGAAATAAGTTTGATCAAAAATCGAGACATGGATAAGTAATTGAATGCATGGAGTGTAATGTGGAGATATGTGTAAGCAAATATTACGCATTGAATGGTAATTGGGTTGGCTATAGACGTTCAGTACTTGATTTTAATTATGTTTTTTGTTTAGGAGGCTTGTTAGGGTTAAGCTTGAACCTTTTTCACTGTTTTTGGATGTTGGAAATGAGTTTTGAATTAATTACGATAAAAATAATTACACTTAAAATTGCATATTATAACAAAACGCAAATATGTCAATTTGCTCAAGTATTATGAAGTGATGTCGAGTTCTTGATATTAATTATGTTTTAAGTTTAGGTTTGTTGATAAACTAGAACCTTTTATACTGTTTTTGAATTACGAAAATGTGTTTGGAATTAATTATGATAAAAATAAATTTCACTAACAAAAAATTACATATAACAAAATGAGTCACCCATAAAAAAGTAAAGGTACGACTTTCCATTGACGTCAGTGGAGTTTGGTGTTGATACGTATTTTTACAGAAAGATTACACTGTTATAAGCACACACACAAAGTCTCAATATACGGAAACGTGTAATTTTTGAGAAAAGAATAATTGAAAATCAATTATTCTATGTTTATGTCTAATCTGCTAATAAACTGGCGCCATTTTGTAATGTCATTGTTGACGTCAATAGGGATGTCGATTCTTTCCGAAAAAGGTCGATTTTTAAATCGATTCAAATTGTAAGCTGATGTATCGATTCCCGAAAAAATCGATTTCTAAAATATCGATATTTTTTCATGTTTGCATTTATAATGTAAATATAAGTCCATTTTATGAGAAAAAAATCCCCTTCATCATAAAAAAATAAGGGGACTGATTCATAAGGATTTCTGTATCTATTTTGAGACTGCTACGTCTCCGGCGCTGCGGGAAGAGCAACCTCTACGCCTTAGCGTAACAAATCGCAGGCATCCCTCCTCGCCTCCGCAGCTTCGGCTTGTTGGTCGCCTTCGGCGACCAGCCTCAGCCGCTCCGGCTCGTCCGATGCCTACGATTTGTTACAGCAGGCGGAGGCTGCTCCCCCTACGCGCCTCCGGCTCTATAAAACCACTCTAGGGGTAGGACAGACTCGTACCAGGTGGAGTCGGGGTCAATCAATTCGGTTCTTTGACGTAAGTTGAACCTAACCTATTTAATTTGTTATCTGCCCTAATAGGTACTGTTAAATAAAACAAATTTTAATAAGAGATCATTTATCATGGTATCTTTTTTGTTTTTCATAAAATGGGTTTATATTTACATTATAAATAGAAACATTAAAAAAATATAGATATTTTCGAAATCGATTTTTTGTGAACCGATACATCAGCTTACGAGTTGAATCGATTTAAAAATCGACCTTTTTCGGAAAGAATCGACATCCCTATTGACGTCGACAATGACATTACAAAATGGCGCCAGTTTATTAGCAGATTAGACATAAACATTGCAAGAATAATTGATTTTCAATTATTCTTTTCTCAAAAGTTACGCGTTTCCGTATATTGAGACTTTGTGTGTGTGCTTATAATAGTGTAATCTTTCTGTAAAAATACGTATCAACACCAAACTCCACTGACGTCAATGGAAAGCTAAGCCAAAGTAAATTACTCAGATCCAGACAATTTATTTGTGGCTGAAGATGGGACTTATACATAATAAATTGAGTCGCAGTGGAGAGCAGTCAGAGCAGCAGAGCAATCCGTGAAAAAAAAAACAAATTGACATATTTGCGTGTCGTTTATGCTATTTTTAGTGAATATTTATAGTAAGTAATTCAAAACGCATTTCCGAAATCCAAAAACAGTGTAAAAGGTTCGAGCTTAACCCTGACAAACCTAAGCTGGACACAATTAAAATCAAGTACCGTATGTCTATAGCTAACCCTGCGTGACCACCAGATAAACGAAATGAAGATTGACATTTGACATTGATGGACGCCCACAAAATGACCGTCAACTCACTTTTCACACCAGTTTTTGACATCTAACCTCATAATACTATACCAAATTGACATATCTGCGTTTCGTTATACTCAATTTTTAGTGGAATTTATTTTTATCATAATCAATTCAAAACACATTTCCGACATCCAAAAACAGTATAAAAAGTTTAAGCTTAACCCCAACAAGCCTCCTAAACTGAAAACATAATTAAAATCAAATACTGGATGTCTATAGCCAACCCCACTGAATTAATTATTCTGTTAGTAAATTTATAACATGCTTTTATCTGTTTCCAGAATGGTAATAGTTTTGAACTTTTAAACTGTGATGATCACGCAGGTATTTTGCGTAGAAATGATAGGGAGCCAGGATCCTGTCGTCCAGACATCACTCATCAGTCTTTACTTATGTTAATGGATTCACCTTTAAATAGAGCTGGACTTTTGCAAGTTTATATCCATACAGAAAAAAATGTTCTTATTGAAATAAATCCACAAACAAGAATACCAAGAACTTTTAAAAGATTTGCTGGATTAATGGGTATGTTAAAAATTAATTATATTTAAACTAGGGATGGCACAATACATAATTTTGTCAATATGATACCGATACTTATTATTTATGCAAATATTTGCTGATACTGATACCAACATGTTAATGTTTTATGTGTCTCTATTATGCACAATACCGCCAATAATAATTTATTTATAATGAAAAGTGTTAGATATTTAATTTTTATTAGAATCCCCATTCCAAAAATATAAATAATACTTTTGAAATAGGGATTCTATTTCTCTTTTCTTATTCATTAAAAATTATCATTAAGTAAGCAAATTAAATAAGTAATTGTTTATTATTTAACAAAATAATAAATTGTTACAGCATATCAATAATTGAAGTTCCCTTTTGGCAGATTTTTTGTTTAGAAAGCAAAGTTTATTCATATTATTTGCAGACATTCTGTTGTGTTAATCATTTTGTATGAGGCCTGCAGTGGAAAATAGACATTCTGTGGACACTCGGACTAACATCTTGATAAGTAGAATACCTTCTTGCAAGCAATTTTTCGCCAGCAATTTTTAGTAAACATGGCAACATTACTATGATGTGAAGATCTTCTCCCATCCTGAATGTGATGGAAATTCAGCAGCTTAATTAGCTCTACAGTTAACAGCCTATCCTTTTTACTAAACGGTGCTATTCAACTACTATCTTGTTTAATGAAATTAATAGGGTGACCGTGCTATGTAAAGTCACTGGTCTGTGCTTAATTATGTATTATGTGCTATATTTTATGAATGCATGTGACTTTACCGCTAGCCTGACTGGCCACTGTTGCTAATATTACAAGACACAGTGTTGTATTAGATGCATCGGCTAAATATCATTCAAGACGCTAATTGAACGGTGCCGTTAGGTAGAAAAACTAGGCTGTTAACTGAAAGGTTAATTAAACTAGTTAGCTGCAACAGAAATGGCAATGAGCATTGTTGCTTTGCTCACATTGCATATTGTTAGATATCAGTATCACATATGTTTTGTTACATTCCTGATTTAAACATTTCTTTTATATTATATAATTAGATAATTAGATACACAGTAATTATAAACAATGAACTATATGAGAATGGAGTAATTGTAAACTGAAATGTGGTCATTCACTGCAGCTCATAGGAGGAAACTCAAATACTCTCAATTAAATTTGCGATGATAAGGGCTATGCTAGGAGTTTCACTTCAGGATAAAGTACATATTGAGGATATCTGTAAAAGAACTAGAGTAACTGAGATAGCCTAATGGATAAGTAAGCTGAAGTGGCAATGGACCAGCAATCTAACTCAAAGAACCGACAATCAAAGGGGAAGAATAAATTCAGTGGCAGCTTTATACTGACAAGTCCAGTTTTGGGCGCACCCCCCACTTGTGGAGTAACGACCTGATGAAACATATAATTAGTCAATGGATGCAGGTTTATCAGGGCAGTACTTTAGATCCTACAGTTTAAGGCAATCTATGGGGGAGGCATATGTTCAGCAGTGGACATGTGATGAGCTGTAGTGATAATAATAGTGACACAGTAATTGTATATATTATATTATGTAACTATGTAATTAATATCTTATAATTGTTTTTTTATGTTTGATTCAGAATATAGCACTATTTTTTTTTCCAGTGCAACTTCTACATAAATTTGCTATCAGAGCTTCAGACGGTCCTATGAAGTTGTTAAAAGTTATAAAGAATCCGGTAACATCTCATTTGCCTGTAGGAGTCAGAAAAGTAACTATGTCCTTTAGTTCAAAAATGGTTAAAACATGTCGTGATTTGGTTCCTAAAGATGAACCAATAGTCCTTATAATTGGAGCAATGGCACATGGTAAGGTGGAAGTTGACTATTCTGAAGATGTTATTTCAATAAGCAACTACCCATTGTCAGCAGCATTAACTTGTGCAAAGCTGTGTACGGCATTTGAAGAAGTTTGGGGTGTTGTATGATATTAAAGTATATTATCTCATAATAGATTTTTCTTTTGAATATTTTTATAAACAAGATTTAAAAATAACGAAAAAAGTTTATTAAGTGTAAGTTAAAATGTTTGAGATACTCACCTTCCTGAATCTTAATCCTTCATCTCATCAGCTCATAAACAATCCTATGGCATTGGCAATCCGACGGCGTCATGGTGCAGTGGTAATCCGACGGCGCCGTGCTGTAATGGCTTAGCAATAAGTTGCAGTGCTGAGGGTTGCATGCTCAAATATCGCATCATACAACTATTTGTATGCAACAAATACTTGCTTCAGGTCTTTGTACTTGAGCAAATTATGCAAGTTAACTGCCTTTACAACATAAGAGAAAATCCTATTGTTAAAAATCCTAATTTTTTTACTGAAAATAAAATGCTGTATGAGTGAACTTCTCATGGTAAAGAAGATTTAAGCATTTTTATACTTATCATACTTGACAGGCAGAGGTGATTTCAATACCTTACTTCTTACACCTCTCATGCTTCCTGTAATGACTTAATATACTACATCTATCAAAATACTGCTACTTATATGTTTTACTTAACTTTTTTAAAGAGGACTAATATTCCAATAGATCAATCGCTTGTGTAAGAACAGGCAGTAATAATTAATTGTAATAATTGATTGAAAGTTACCGTGCGGCATGCCCAGAAAATATTTCAACATGTATCAATGGCAAAAAACGATAGTGGGGCAAAGAACTGCATATTGACTCCTAATCGAGGATAAATTTCTTTGTCTCACAGCTACTGGATAGTTACCATCAGGCGGACCGTGTGCTCGCCTTACATCCATATTCTATGAAAAAAAACTACAATAAACATAGGAAAATGGGATAGGATAGAAAGCAGACTATGATAGGAAAACTCTAACACAGCAAAACCAACCCAATGGAAGCGACTCAACATCCCCTTTTAAAACCAGGGTGTGACATCATCTTCCCTGCACAAATGCAGTGGGGAGGTAATGCATTATTAAATAATTATACTAGTGTCCAGAGTGTGTTTGGAACTAAGATATGTTCCAAAGGGATAGAGGGAAGTGTTAGTAAGGTTCATACCCAAACCAGAGCGTTTATACTGATCCCAAATCCTATAGACCCATTAGCCTCACGTTCCTTTTCTGAAACCAATAGAGAGGGTGTTTGAAAGGAAACGTAGGGAATCAGCGTTAAAGAACATACCTGCATGATAAACTAAAAAATTGCTGGGGAATTACAGACAACCCAAATAATGAAAGGCTGTACACAAGAAGGGGTGTTATCACCATTCTCCTGGAACATGGTGATAAATCATCTGCAAATTCTTAAGCACGGCCGCCTCCCTCCACTGGCTACGGTTCGGTAACTGTTTTGAAAAAACCGAGGGTTTTGTCTGTGCAATACAGGATCAGGTTATTAAATCCAACAACTATTGGAGACACATCCTTAAGAATGGCACCGTTGACATCTGTCGAGCTTGTCGCCAACCCGGTGAGTCAGTTAGGCATGTCATCTCCAGTTGTTCGGCGCTTTCTAACTGCATATTTGCACAGACACAATCTAGTAGTCAGAATTCTACACCAGGCGCTCGTTGATACTGAATGTTCTGCGCCCCTGGCCACTCATAAATGTTTGAATTTTGAATGTTATATATTTTTTAAATATAAAAAACTTAGACTGTCAATTGTTTTCTACCGACTTCAAAAAAGATTAGATAGTCAATTCGACTGTATGTTCTTTTTTATGTATGTTACCCCGTAACTTTTTCCTAGGTGAACCGATTGCGATGATTATTTTTTATTTGAAAGCTGGTGCTTCTCATGTGGTCCCATATAAATTTAATCAAGGTCTGACCAATAGTTATAGAGTTATTCTTAATAATTTATATTGTTGGTAGTACAATTCGGTTGTACAAAATTTTTAATTGTTCTCAATTGTTTCGTCATTCATAATATCAGACTATCTGTCTATGCCTCAATAACTTCTTATCATGTAAATTATGTAATGTATTGACTAAAGGCCTACTTGGTAAGAAAATTCCCAGTAATCTTACTCGAAAGACTATTGAGAATGCATCACGCCTTGAAGTTTAGTCTCACTTGTAAGACTACTGGGAAGAAAATTTCTCAGTAGTTTTACTAGTAAAACTACTGTGAATACCCCAAAAATGTGGATACTATCAGGCGATTAATTTGAGAGACCGGCGCATCACCTGTGAAAAGTTACGAGCATTTGTTTTTTTTTATAAAATAAGAGTAACAAACGAGCACGCACTCCACCTGATGGTAAATAGATGTTGTGGTCCATAGGTATCTACATATATCCTCGTTTAATGGTACAATTTTAACGAACATCCACACAGATTGATTTCTGACGGGTGACGGCTGTGGAGGTCAAAATATAAATTCAATTCTTATTGGAATTTGTTGTAAGTGGCTACTTCTACGTCCGAATATAAAAAAAAATAGAAATATATAATGATTTCTTATATTTACGCGAACACTACACATTGAATAAAACTACTTTTACGGATTCTATCGCGTTTAATTAATCGAATAAAACTATTATTTACGGATTTTATCGTGTTTAATTTACTATTTTAATTCCCGACGTTTCGCCGATAGTTGGTGCTTCACGTCAGCTATTTTCTTATTGGAAGGGAAGTCTGCAGTTTGTGATCATATCCTAGACGGCCCCCGCGATTACATTAGATTTGATAAACCACAAATTCTCGCGAAAGAACATCGTTTCTTGCCAAGGATGATACGTGAGGCTATGGAAATTAAAAATAAATGGGCTGGGTACTACCACCTGCTTGGGATCCTGTAATTAATAAAATTAAAACTAAACCCAAGCATACCACTGCAAGACTTCAAGACACAGTAAGATCATTCTGCGTAGATCGGACCAAAATTGATAATTAAAAAAGCTGAAGGTACTCCGGGTTAACTCTGACATCGGGACGTCAATCACCTCAATCTCCCGTGACCATGGGTGCTGTAAAGCACCCGAAACGTCGAGAATTAATAAAAATAAGTTAATTAAACGCGATAGAATCCGTAAAAGTAGTTTTATTCAATGAATAGAAATATGTTTCCCCATCACGAGTCATTTGTATCTGCCTTCGGATAGAGATTTTGGTCATATAGAACGCGAAGTCTAAAGAAAAGAAGTAATCATTCTAGACTATCATAACATCATTGCAAATTATGCTACATTAATACTCATGGGTAATAATGATTGTCAAGTGCACGATTGGAAATGTGCTGCGGAGAAAATACTAAAACATCTAGGTCAGTGGCATTTTAAATTCATGGAATCCAACATCATATAATAATCAAACGATCCCGCACAGACACTTACAATACATTAGTACAAGGAAAAGTATTTTATAAAAGTGATTTAACACACACTACGAGAGGCACCTAGGTGCCCTTCGTAGTGTGTGTCGCCGAGTAAAAATGTTGATGATTACACCACGTGAAATTTAGCTGGGTGTCACAATAAAACCACAGAAAATTCATGATGTATCTACTTTACTTACAAAACATTATAGATTCAGGTTGGCAAAATATTAATGAATTGAGCTACTACAAAAATAGTATCAATCAAAATATTGTAGACATTAATAATATAGACAATGAAGAAAATAACTATTGTGAATCTCGCACGGAAAACACAGCATTGAGAGTTTTAAAATGATTACTTTGATATTTTTTTATTTGATTGGTTTATCAAAGTAAAATAGAACATTTCATTTAAACATGTTTTTTGACAACCTTGACAGCTTACTGTTTATTACCTATATCCTAAAAAATATGGCGAAGTCCATAACCATCCATAACAAAAACGGTAAAGTCCTTACTTTAGTAACAAATGTGGCAAAATCCATCACATTATTTAAGTTTCTTAGCAGTGCCGGATTAACCACGTAGCAAGAGTAGCAATTGCTACGGGTTCCGCGCAAAAGGGGGCCCCGCGTATCCAAACCCGCTTTTCACTGCCTAAGTGTAATTTTTTCAGTGAAACTTAATAAGACGTGGTATATCGAATTTACTTGATGTCACAAAAACGTGAAACGTTACACCTTTCTCGACTAAGACAATCCATGGCAGACAATCAGTAACTACTACTGATCATGCAGGAAGATCTGCTTACGACTTTGCCTTGACATATGGTCTGACGCAACTGATCACTTCGCCCACGCGGATACAAGATGTGGAGAATCATCTGAACGGATATCGGGTCTCCGTCGATGACCCTCTTGGCTCTTCGGATCATTGCCTGATCCGGAGAGTACAGTGCCCATCACTTACTCATTGCAGGGACGATCTGTTGGCTGCCGCCGTCTGTGGTTTAGCTCAGCGGATTGGGATTCGATGTGGGCGGATTTGCTTTTCGCTGGATAATCCAATAAAAATCGTTGTTGAGTCTGTTGCCGATGTGGTGCTTGATGGCTTTTTTCATCCCTTCATCTGTAGTGCCTATCGGCGGCAGATCCCAGCCTTGGTTTGGAAACTCCTGCAAAATTTGCGTCGCGGAAAAAGCAAAAGCAGAGTGTTACAAGGCTTGGGCTGAAGCATCGGTGTCCCGGGATGTAAACACTAGTGAACACAAGAAGTACAAATCTGCCTCTAGGTCCTCCAAAGGAGTTATCAGGAGGGCAAAGTCGGAGCATATTGGGAGAATTTGCGAGAATTTAGTTCGCCTTCCTTCGGGAACTCGTGCGTTCTGATCCCGGAATTTTTGTAAGCCTAAGGAGGATAACTCGCAGGCCCACGCCGCAAAGAAGAAAGTAGATCTTTTAGGTTCTCTTTTTGCATTCAACTCGACTCTCGTTGCCGGGGGAACAGACCATTAACATACGTGTGAGTGCTCCATGCAATGTGCTGTTTACACAGCTCCCTGGACACTGTCCCTTGATGTCAACAAGTCGAGTGGGCCTGGTGGAATCCCCCAAATTGTGCAGAAACGTGTGCTCAAGAGT